ATATTTCCCCTTTTTGTGTAGGTGATGTAAGGACGCCAAATTTTCCATTGAAGTGTCAAACAGTTCTTTGTCAGCGGCCCAGGTGATGTAGTGAGGAACCTTGCAAATTTCTTTTGTGTCAAACATCGCTCCGCACCTGTCTATTGTACTGGCTGTGCATGTCGGGGATAACTTCCCTGTACATGCTTTGAGAGATTAAGCAAGGTTTTCAAAGCCCTGGTAAAATTTCTTTATCTTTTGGTATGTCCTTACATGTACATGTACCTCCATGGAAACAACATCTACACAGTGCGGTACATGGATATGGTCCTGCATATGGGCATCATAAACAGAATGACTGGATGTTATTAAAACTTCGTCAAAGTTTCAGAGTACATGTGCATGTGACAACTAGTGAGGGTTGTTCTACACCGATGCGCACACATGATAGCAAAATTCATTGATGATATTGTCTTACTGTCAATTTTCAACATTGGAGAATTGATTAGAATACACACTACAAAATTTGATTCAAATTTAAAAAAAATTCCCGGATATGAATATGTACTCTTTTAATGTCTGAAAGAGAAAACAGTTTGTTTCTTTTGAATTTACCGGTTTATAAATTATAGGATTTGAAACAAAATTATTATCACTGTACATGTAGGTACATAACTGTACCACTTTTACCCTTCTAGACATGCTAGATATTCGTAAATTCCTCAAATCTTTAACCTAGTTCAACAACATTTGTCTCCAGTAATTTGCCAGTTGTTGGCCCTTTCATGCCCGAGTTAAACTCAAGTTCACAGCGTGTGTCACTTCGTCATTCGCAAATTGGAATTTTTTTCAGACAAGGAGAACTGAAAGTAAAAGTTGGATGTCACATAAATTCGGTCACCGCACGCTGTAACCCTACACCTTCCATGAATGTGTCATAGAGGAGCAAACAGTGTGTTATGTACCAAAGAATGGCTATGGGAATTTAATTGGCCGGGTGTATAGAATTATGTCTTAATATGGGCTGAGGAGTAAACACCACTGAACAGGGTAAACTGACAATGCTTTGCCTACATAAGGTTTAAGCACATAATATGTGAATGGCTTGAGTAAAGAGGCTGTACTGTATAACTGCTCCATAAATTCACTGATGTACATGTAGATATACAGACAATATGTAGAGCTATTGGTCAGGTGCAGTGCTAATATTGGGAAAATGTTGGCTCAAAAGGTTTTATTGACAAGAATTGGTTGACATATCAAGTAAGGCAGATATAAAATGACACTGCTGGAACGAAATGATTATTCATAAAAAAATATTCTGCAAGTTGTTTATTTAAAGGGAATATACATCATTTGCTTTTGCTGTAATTTTCAGAAATGGATGGAAATGGGGGGTTGGAAATATATAGCAAATATAGTTATACTGACTTTTTGAGGTTTTGGGTTCAAAAATGCTATAAAAACCAAGAAAAACAATCACTTTCCTGTAGTCTGGTTCCCTGACTCCATATAAGAAGAAACAGAGCAGTTTACATACATTGGGGAATTGTAAGGTCAGGGAACCAGTCTAGCTGGCTTGTACCCGTTCATAGGTGTGTAATCGATTGCAAACAAGTGCGATGGTCAATTGGGGCCAGTATTTGAAGAAAAAAAAGCCAGAAATTGATACAAAAAAAATACCACTTTTTTTGAAAATGACAGTATACCAGGTGCCATGATTTTACAGGATGCTTTACACTGTCATTCACTAACAGTCCAGCAAGGTATTTCAAAATGATTTGGTAGTTTTATTTTGTGATGTTTGCAAATGTTGTATTTTCCCTTTAAATGAAATACCTGTATTTAAGTATTTACCAGAAATCTATAGGACCATTTTTTTCCGAAACAATTTAAGAGTTAAAAGTTCATTATTGGCACTAAGTGTGATAGTTTCTTGATGATTTTTGCAGTTTGCCGCTTTTCTTCTTACCTCTCTGGTCACATATCTGGTCACATATCTGGTTTTTGATGATTTATTTATTGTTCCAAGAATTGTTTAAATTGCTTTTTTTTTTACATTATCCCATACTACTACTAGCACCTCAGCCCAGCAAATTGTCCACTTTTAAATTTCTCTTTTGCCAATAAAAAAAATTATGTTTGCCAAATATAAAAACCAGAACTACATGTAAACTGGGCTTTGCAAAATTCCATGTATTTTCTAGCCAGTTCAACAATTTCAAAACACATTAAAACAAATCAATTCCAACTGTTTGCCAAGAACGATTCTGCTTAATTTGAGCTTCCTGGCACAAACCTTTTGATGACATTGGTAATCGTAGTCATCATATCGAAACATGCCCCAGAGAACTTGATTTTCAGACGGTTTTAATTAGAACAGAGGACATAGTGGACAGTGCGGTCATTGTTGTTAGGTTTGAAGGAACCGAGGAAGGAAAAAAATGCACCCAAATTGCACTTCCTGAACAGATGATTATCTGAAGATGAAAACAAGTTTAGCGGGGTCTGGAAAAGTAGGTTAGGAGATCGGCTGTTAAAATTTGAGGTTTTGACACGGCGGACGTGATTTCATGGAAGTGCAGGGTCTGCAGTTTGATTCACTCGCCTGCTGCTCGTGTGATGGCTTTTTCGTCTGGGAATCATGCAAATTGATATATGTCTGTTCAAAAAGTAATTTGTTGTTTCATTTGCTGTGAGAATTGTTTTTCGGTACTTCAAAATATTTATACATTCAGAGCTTGTTTTAAACTTGATGAAAGCCAGTGTGTATAACTGCCGACGTTTCCAAGCACTGAAATGTTCCTAATTTGTCATGCAAAAACAGAAATACGATTCCTGAAGACGATCAAAGCATGCAGACCAGTTCTTTTCAGAACCACACTTCTCAAAAGAGATTATTCCACGTGGTGTAACCGCAAACTTCATTAGTAGTAAGCAAAACTAAAACAGGTTTACACCAACTAAAATAGCATGTTTAGTACACTGCTCCTGACTGGTTTCCATCCTTTGAATGAAATTAGGCCCTTGTTTTATTCTCAGTCAATTTCTCTGTGTCAAATCTATCATGATTCACACATCATAGCCTTGATGTACATGTATACAACATATATTCTGGCACGTTTCATCAGTATGCCTTTCTGTAACAATTTCTGTGTTCAGTTATCATTCTAAGTTTTTTTTTTAAAAACAATTTGCACATTGAATCCAGACAGAGGCTGACTGTTTTTATTCATTTTACTTTCAACAAAAGATGCTTTTGTTATATCGGCTAAAGAGAAGTATTTGCTACACAGTAACGATAAGTTTTAGTAGGTTTTTGTTTTTGCATGTGCCCGTATACAATCAACCTATTTTAAAGCAAATAGTCTATAGAAGGTCTATCTATATTTTTGCTTATAATGCATGACGGGCCACTTTGTGGTACTTGATTATCCAATGCAGTGTCAATTTAAACCTTAAATTGTAAATAACGTTTAAATTCATGTAATGCATTCTAATGATCTGTTGGTTATTGACAAATATTAACCTGTACTACACAATGCACCTTACGTCATTTTCATTGGGTTACGAATAGAGATTACAAAACTCATTACAAAGGTGTCTGTATATGTGCAATATATTGCCTGCAGAATTTGATAAAGTTAATTGTATATTGTGGACATTTCAAAGCGAGTTGTTGTTATTTTCTTTATGACATCTGTCTCATTGGTTTGTCCTTTAGGGTTGGTTCATTTTTACTTGGCAGAGAGACTACCGACGTTTTTGGGAGGTCAGTTGCAGAAAAAACCCAAATATTGACCAGTGGCGTAGCTGGAATGGGAGATGGGAGGAGCCTGGGGCACGGTCCCCCCCCCCTCCCCACCCCACCATGCACACATTCCCAGTGCCAAATGAAAGGTGGCCCTTGCCACGAAGTGTCTCTTTTTTAAAAAGTAATTTAACCAAAAGGGGATGTACACAAATTTAACTTGATGGCAAGTCCCTTCACCCTATGGATTTAAGAAATAATTATGAATAAAGAGATAAAAAGGGAAAAGGGTGCCCCCTTGAAGATCTGCCCCCCCCCCTCAAATTTGCAGCACCTGGCTTGCTAGTCTGCCACCTGAAAATTTGGGCAGATTTTATTGTGGATCAGCCCTTGATGCCCCCCCCCCCCCCCACTCGCCACTGAAAAAAATCCTGGGTACCCCACTGATATTGACCTACCGCGGTAGAATCGCGTCAACGCAGCTTGTGAAATATTGCCCAATTACATGATATACAAATGGACGCAGGACGCGCAAACTCTGAGACAAACAAATCTTAGTCTACAAAAACTCCGTAGGGTTGTCTAAGGGGCGTGGCTATCTCGCAAACGGCGATAGGTCAATTGACTGTGCTTATGAATTGCAGCTGCACATGTGAAAGCAAGCTATATCAGATTGAGCGGAGGAAGCCTTGTAATTAGGGTTCACCACAAAAAAAAGGGAAAAAAGGAAATTGAAGACCTTTTATTTTGTCTAGTCTTACATCCTGCTGTCTTAAAATATTAATCACCTTCTCTCCATTTACATTCATCATGCAGTCATCTTGGCACAATCAGTTGTTCAGATGTCGGGTGCTCTTAGATTTCACTTAGGTACACAATGTGACCGAGCTCTTTAATATTGCGTGGATAACTTGGCAAGGAAAAGGTGGTGACATCTTAAATTCTAAGACGTTGCCACATGAGGAAACACTGCTGTGACTCACATCAAGTAATCCTGAATCACTACATGCTAACCACCATAGAAACCAACCACCATAGAAACCATGAACCAAACACTCACTGCTTCACGTTTTTAGAGGGTGTAGGTTTCTGTTGTCGACAACCAAACATTTTTTTCCCCTAAATTGTGGATTTCGTCTCGGAGAATACTGCCCTAAAGGCGAAATAGTCAGAAATTGATTTCAGAATGTAGGATTCAGATGAGACTTGACAGGTGAACAATGCAAGCATGCCTACGCAAGGAAAATAAAATCAGACCAACAACACAGACTCAATATGTGCTCTGTACAAATTTATTTCATTAAAAAAAGGACTGAAAGCGTGACTACTGAAATCCAAATCACATCATCTGCAAGACGGCTTCTACCCTTCGGCTGTCTTAGGGTCCATCAGCAATGCCATATCTAATTCATCACTGGATTAACATGTCAATAATGGAACGAGTCGTCGCCCCAAACCCGTGTCATTAATGGTTATATTACTGCACACCTACTGAGTGAAGACCCAAGCAATATCTAGTAGGCCGTTGATGGGAAAAACCGCATAAAACCCCCTCAAAGGGAAACTGACTACAGTAGGTGCATTATAATTTTTTTTTTTTCAAAGTTGAACGAAGAAATTAACTGGAGCGGGGTTTGAACCTATGATCTCCGGATTGCAGTTCTGTAGCCCTACGGTACCAACTGCGCTGTCCAGCACTATGTTGGCGGTTCAAACCCCGCACAAGTCAATTTCTTTTTCGGCTTTGAAAAAAATTAAATAGAAACTGTAAAAGCTTGTTGTCCATGCAATTTTATATGTTTTTTATATTTTATAGTTTCAATTCTTTGGTATCTACATTGGTACAACAATTTTGCAGAATTCTGAAGGTTTCCCAAGATAGGGTGAACAAGTGATCCGCGGATCGCATGTGTCACCTTTTTCTGCAGTCGATCCCTATCTGTTTTGTGTTTTCGTGAACAAGTGAACAATTGTGCATTTTTAAACGACCTCAAATGACCCCTAGATGACCTTTGACCTCCAATTTCGGAAGACTTGTGATGAACCCCCACCCAAGGATCACTCCATCCAAGTGACAATAAAATCCATCAAATTCTGTGTAGACAAAAAAGATTTGAAGCATATTTGAACAACGACCTCTAAGGACCCCTACATGACCTTTGACCTCAGTAATCTGATGGAGAAATTGTGTCTTCCCACCCAAGGGTCCCTGCATCCAAGTTTCATCAAAATCCATGAAAGCATGTAGAAGTTATACACTTTTTGCAAAAACTTAACCGAAACTTCAACATACACACATGTATGATCTACGGTCATACAGAATTAAGGACTGGTTAGAGTCTCTCAAAACTTCATTTAGGCAACACAAAAATTATATGGCTTGATCCTCACTTGACATACACTGTTACTACAGTGTGTATGTGTGAATACCATGGCTGAAAAGGCCTACATTTTTTTGTACATTCTTGTGGCACAACATGATACTGCAAGCACTAACTCAGGGTACTTGAGCTTTTATGAATTTCTCTGTCAAATATAAGACTGTTTTTGGCATTTAAGTTTCTGGTATTCGATAAGTTTTACACTGACCAAATATTAGGAACAAATGCTATTTTAAAAATGTTTCTCCAAAATGACAGTTGAGAACAAACCAGCAAGTGTAGTAAGTTCACAGATTAGCAAACATTAAAAAAATGAAACCCAATCCACAATTTATGAAGGAGTACAGTGAATGCAGATGTCATCAAACTGCCATAACTTTGTATTGTGATGCTTATCGTAGCATGACCTGGCAGACGGTGAACAGTTGATGGTGCATGTTCATCATGAGAGCTCCAGTGCACACTGCGTTTCCCCATTGCTAGTTTCATTCTAAAATTGCAAGAACCCATAGCGTCTTCAAGTGAGCATCAGTCTCATCATCTCAGTCTCCCCCCCCCCTGACTTTCTCTGTAACTATTGAGGAGATACTTGTACACAGAGTCCATTGTAATACAGATCCTATGGTGAAAAGAACGGTATCCATACACCCTAGTCCATCAATCGCTGTCCCCCTCCCCGCTTGATGCCTGGCCCGACTCCGCATCGCTAGCGCTGCCAAAGATCTCCTCCTCGTCTCTCTCCACGCCTCGCTGCTCGTCCTCCTCCTCTTCCTCTTCTTCCTCTTCAACCTCTCGATCCTCCACGTCTTCGTCGCCGCTTCCAGCCGCAGCTTCCTCCGCTTCTCCTGCTTCTTCGGCTTCGTCTTCTCTCTCGCTACCGCTCTTGGCTTCCTCCTCCACCTCATCCTCCTGCACCTCTTCCCCTTCTTCTTCTTCTTCTGCGTCTTCTCTCTCTTGGACCTCTTCGGCTTCGCTGGCTTCTTGTTCGGCCTCGCTTTCTGCCTTCTCGCTGCCACTGGCCACGTTCTCTGCATCTGGTAAAGGTCAGATAATTACAGTATTTTGTATTCACCTCTCAAAAGGAAACTTCCTGAATCCACCAAAAATACTCCACTGTTTAAGAAACCAACAACACATTCTTTGCACAAGCCAACTTCCCTTTGACATTCTGAAGTAGCGCATTAATCCATGTACTGCCCCAAATCACTCTGCCTTTTATTCCATATTCTGCCAAGAACACCCCCCCCCCCCCAGCACTATTTTTTTATGGAGTTTATCAAGGAGTAAAATACATTGCAGTACAATGTAATACGTGTTCAAGTGCAAAGGGTTAAAGTGAAATTTGTACAGAAAATACAAGCTTACCTGATTCTTGTGATGGAGCCTCATCACCACTTTCCTCTCTCTCCTCATTTTCGTCTTCTTCACCTTCTAATCCAGCCTCTTCCTCCTGTGTCTCCATCTCATCCTCATTTTCTCCCCTCTCCTCTCCATCTTCAGCCGCCTCCATTTCTTGTTCTGGTTCTTCTTCCTCCTCCTCTTCGTGTATGACATTATCAAGCTGGGATAACCTGTTCTCCTGTTGAGGAAGACATTCACGAGTGAATAAGAGAATTTTTTTCAAGAACTCTTGTATAACAAACCCTTCTACGAAAGTTATCTTCTGTTGTTTAGCACGTCCTGAAATTTGGATGAACTTTAAACAAAATGCCAAATGGTTTCATTTTTTTTGGGAGTAAGGTTGGTGCACTGGCTGAGTCAGGTTGGTGCTGTGGTTCTTTCCTCGCCTACCACATACGTGACCCCGGTTCGAATCCTGCCAAGATCCACATGTTGATTGGGTTTTCAGTCCCTGCCTGATTCTGTGGGTTTTCCCCAGAATATTTATCTGGGGTTTTCCTCCCACCTCTAAAAGAGGAAGAGCAACTTTTTTTGGTCTTTTATATATTGGTTTCCTCAGGCTTGCAAGCCACAGTGCCATGGGTACTTTTGAGGAATCCTTGGTTTCTTTACCAGAAATTATATTATAAATAATAACAAGTTGTCAAATATCAACCACAAAGGGAAACTAATATGCGCATATAAATTATAACGAAAGCCCTCTCCATGCTGGGTCCCTGTTTGCTATTTTCAAGGCTTGCAGCATTGCTGACATTGCTAGCATCATGACTTTGGGTGTGATCCCTGGCTACATGGCATACACCGGGAATTGGCTTCCGACTGGCACCCTTGAACAAAGACATTGACAGAACCGCGAAACCGCCAACATAGGGCTGGATAGCTGTTGGTAGAGCACCTGGATGGAATTCTGGAGGTCGAAGGTTCAAATCCCTGCTCCAGTCAAGTTCTAATTTGTTCAATGTTATAATTATCAAGTAATAACAGCATGACTAAAAGCCAATACCTGCAGAGCCACTTCCGGGTCTGCTAGCTCTCTGTGCTTGACCACCAGGATGGAATTGGTTGATGGGCCTTCCTTGTCCTTGGCTCTTCTCTTATTGAGTCTGACCCTGTGTTTCAAAAGAATCCAAGACAACTTGGACATATTAGAGCAGGTCCAGGATTTTTGCAAATGGGGAGACTGATCTTTCAAGGGAGTTGGTTTTCAGGGTGAAAATGAATAAAACTGCTGCAAATTTACCAGATTGACCTGAAATATCAGAATCAAACAATTAATAGGGTCTGACGTTTCGATCCTAGTGGAATCTTTCTTATAGTCCATGTCACATTTGATTACAAGACTGGACGTTGTGGTCGCGTGATGGCAACTTTTGCCAAACTGTTCTCTTCTGCACTGCATGTGTATCTCTTGAAATCAAACGGTTTAAAAGTGTTGACAAACTGTGTTTTTTGTGGGCAAAAACTAACATGCAAAAGATGCTTAAATGTTTGGGTTGGCGGTCGGTTTCTAGTCTGTATGATCAGATACAGAAACTTAACATGGTCCATGTCAGGGTGTTAAAGTGGGCTTTCCTTTTCAATGCTTGGGTGAGCTCTGCAGGTTGTATAGTAAATGCATTCAGATAGGTCACACTGTTTTGTCAAACAGTTTATTTTTCCTTAAAATAAAACAAAAAAAGAAGAACACAAGCAGGGGACAGGACCTCTTAGAAAAACCCATAATCTGACCTGACAGTGCCATAGGGTTATTACAGGGCGAGTCAAAAAAAGCGGAACCCAAACCCCCAATAATATATTTCATATTTAAAAAAATGTGTGGCACCAAAAATAATAATGAGTGGAAAGCCACTTTCATAAGCTACTTGTAGATAAAAAAAAAATTTACTGAAATTGCTCAATCCGTTCAAAGAATATCACCATTTAAATGCAATGACCCTAAAAAGCAATTTATTGTGTGTTTTGACTGTTTGGAACAACAAAGAAAATGACACAGAATACTTGTTTCAACAACTGTAATACACAACATCTTAGGCAAACATTATGATTTATTAAATCCACTTTTTTTTAAAAGACGGGCCTTCAGAAGGACTTTGTTGAATATTTTTAACTTTTAAACTGAGGTTTTATCGCTAGTGATGTTTGAAGACAATTGTGACGACGATTCTTGAAATCGCATTTATGGACGAGACAGGTTTAGGGTCATTGTGTTTAAATGGTGATATTCTTTGAACAGATTGAGCAATTTCAATATTTTTTTCATCTAAAAGTAGCTTATGAAATTGGCTTTCCAGTCATTATTATTTTTGGTGCTACACATTTTTTTAAAATATGAAATATAATTTTGGGGGTTTGGGTTACACTTTTTTGGACTCACCCTGCATAAGCATACCAGAGGCACCTTCATATGCAGAGTCAATGTCCATATACAGGAAAAGAATGCGACAAGTCACACTATCAAACTTAAAAGCTTTTATCTTTTATGCCAGAAGGCGTATTGGTGTTCATGAAAATGGCCGCAGGCGATTTTGTCGAAGTTAAGATTAGCAGCTGCAGATAAGAGACACAGATAACACTAACATTACCTTAGGCAGTGTTTACATGTGTTGTTCAATGTGATGTGGGATATGCCAAAAATGATGCACATGTGGTGGAACAAAAAATAGCCTGAAGCAGTTCACATCCACAAAAAAAACCAACCAATTATTCAATATTGGGACACTGTTATAATTATCTCCTCTGTACATGAGCAGGTCTGTCAAATCATGTTTTTCACTGCATCTGGACTATGCAAGGCAACAATTTTATAGGATATTTTTCTCCAATATTAAGATTGAGTTAATAATAATAATAATTTCAAACTTAAAATTTATAAAGAGTTCAAATTGAGTCACCAACGTTGTTGGTTGTAGTCTGGGAAAGCATTTTTAAAATTAGTTCATACATGCGAGGGGTTCTGGCAAAATGAGACCAAACTGGGCACAGGCCAAAGTAGAGAAAAATGCACCAAAAAAAAACCCCAAAAGGGGGTGGTGTTTTTTTTCCGTTTAGAATTATTGATATTTGTAATCTTTGATTTATCTACTACACATATTTTAAAGAAACAGTGGGAAAACGTGTAAAATAAAAGAGATTTCTAAGGAAAAACAATTGGCATCTCCCATTTTTACAACTACAAAATAGTCAAAATTTTAAAGCCCTTTTTCGCAGTATTTCACTTTTTTGACATGTCGATAAATGCGAACTTTCAACAGCCATAACTTGTCAACGGAATGTCCGATTGAAGTGCAACAAACAGTATTGCAAGGAGAATTTTATTCTCTTTCCTAGTACCAGCAAACCCTCATTTTGACCTCTACCCAGTTCTGTCTCCTTTTGCCAGAACGCCTCACATTATTTCAGTTTTTTCTTACCTGGTCTCCAGTTCATTATAGTAGACACCTTTGCCGTTCCTGAAGACAATGAAGTAGTTTTCCTCGTAGCCTCGACTGGCTTTGTTCTTCACACTCCAGTTATACTCCCGGGCCAGCTTATACTCGTATCTGTCGATGATACATTCAAACAGGTAAAATACGGCCTGATTTTTTTTCGGAGAAGAAGTGCAAAGTTATTGGTTCCTCAAGACCGGTAAGTTCGTACTTCTTGCCCTAAAAAATGTTGCATTTGTATACTATCATGCCTTTAAAAGTGGCCTCTAGAGAACGCAATGTGAAAGACTGCGTACAATAGTTAGTATAACTCTCTCGAGTCGAGCTATAGGTTTGATTGTATGACGTCAAAGTACCACTTGACTGTCGGTGGCCCCGTGATGGACCACCATTGCAGTAGGCAAATGTTTGGTTAGCATTAGCAAGCACATCGCACATTGTATACTAGACAGTGGGGCTTATTTTAATATAAAACAACCGTGAATTCTTTTATTAAATTGCATCATTTACTACCTGTGCCATGTACGGTCGTCATAATCCTGCTGAATCAGCACTGGGGTTTTCTCACAGTTTATGCCATCTATTGCAGCCTTGAAGGCTTGCCTAGTACCTACATTGTGCAGCGCTATACGATCTTTGCCTACTACAATGGCGAAGCTGACATCTGGTACCCCGATGTAGGCTGCATCACGTGGGTCAGTGAAAGCCCTAAATTGCATGGGTCTTAAATAATAACACTGCAGCCTCATGGCTTTCAGACGGAACTGTGTAAATTTGGTGTCAAATTTGCCTTTTAACCCTAACCTTCCCAAATCCTCCAAAATCCTCTTTGCAAAATGGAGATTTTGCAGGATTGAGGCTATATGGCAAAATGCGTGGCTGATTTTGGAGGATGCACTGTGTCAAGGTCTTAGGCCGGACCTTGTGTTGTTCATGCTCAGCCGTGCATAAATTTAGGCCTATATTACACTTGAAATCCTCCGCACTGCTGGAGGATGTCACTGGCTGTGCCTCAACATATTGACAGTGATTGCTGGAGGATTTTGCAGGATTGAGGCAGTGGTCACCCCTCCAAGGATCACATTCAAGAAATAACGGAGGATTTTGAGGGTTGAGGCTGTATGCAATTTTTACATGGAGACAGTTGGAGGATTTTTTCCAGAATTATGGTTGCATCCTTGCAAAAAATGCCTAGGGAGTTAGGGTTGATTGAAAAACAGAGCATCAACGTTGATGAAGTTTTATACTTTTACATTCATTTATATAAGAAAATGGGTGTCCAGAAGATGCAAACGCACCCCTCTGGTTAAAACCACATGCAGGGAGCAACTTAGTTTGAAGTGTCCTTTATTAGTTTCAAACTTACTCTTCGTCGTCGACGTAGTTCACCTCATCCACGAAATCCCGCTTTCTCTTCCGCGTCGTCTCTTCGGTGGGCAGGAAATAGCCGACAAACTGCTCCCCTGCCTCGTCCACCATGCCTCTAGATACCAGATCAGTGAACACAACAACCACACAGTTATTCAGCCGAGTTGTCCTTGACTCATTTTGGTCGGATTCTTGTGGGTACGCTTGTCAGTAAGCATGGTGAGTAATGCAGCCATCATTAAATAAACATAGCTTCTGTCAAATGAGAGAAGCGGTGTACTTGAGTCCATCAAAAGTCTGGTCATAGGTAAATCATGAGTCAATTTACAAGTAACAGTGGATGTCCAACGCAGGCATGCAACTGCGAATTTAGAAAAAACGAGGAAATTCCAAACCACACAAGACTTTGCACAGTGTTTTTCTATTTGTAATGGCATTCATGAGGAGTCAAACACGAGGAAATCAGCAGATCCAAGGAAAAGTTGCATGCCTGACAACGGCAAAGGAATCCTGCACCCGATTTCATGAAACTCATTGTAACTTACGATGCATCGCAGCTATGCGACGCGTCATATCCCTACGATGCGTCTCAGATGCGACGCGTCCTGTGATTCATTTCACAAAACACGTAAGTGCGACGCGTCGGTGTATTTATAACACAACACGGTGACTGTTACATGTTTTTATTCAACGTACAGTAAATAGTCGTCTGATATTCAGCAAAGAGTGGTCGGATCTCCTCTCGAAGATTTTTTAAAATGTAAAACAAAATGGCGGGCGTATGATGGTGTTTTAAAGGGAATCAAGCTCGTGGTGGACTGATAGCTACTTTGAAATTTCAACAGCAATATGCCAGGCTAATTCATATTTAATTCTATGCATTTTCCATTTACAACTTCACACACAACTTCGTCTCGGTATTATAGTCTCATTTATGTAATTTTCATGGCATAAACCTGGCTGAGAAATGGACGTTTCTTATTTTGCGATGACCACTAGACACCTGGAAACTTGCGACGTATTTTGAGCCGTTTTCAAGGAACTTATGACATGTTCAACACATCGTAAGTTTTGTGAAATGGATCATATGACGCATTGCAAGTTGCAACACATCGCAGCGCTTTGTGAAATTGGGTGCTGGCCTATGTCGCTGTTTCTGTGAATAGATTGTGACTTAACTAAAAAACCCGAAACTAACTTGTGATGGATGTGTGTGGACTTGGGACTAGATTACAACACCGTAGGGTTGTACCACTATGTGCAGAGCAAGCACATAGTTTGGATCAGTTATTCCAAGACCACTAATTGACCAGTGCTTCATTTGGGATGTAAATTGTACCAGTAAGGTCAGATCAAAAAATAAAAAGTGTCTTAAGGCACAAAGTTTATCGGAAAACTAATCTACTTCCTTTTGAAAAAGTTCTGTGCATGGAATTTTTTAGGATTTTCTTTTTGGCCTTATAATTGTTGCAGGCCTATTAGGCATACCTGATCATAGCCTGTGACATCTCCTCGACTTGTGCATTCACTGATTTGCCTCGGACAGCCGGGTCAGAATCAAAGATGACTTGGGCACAAGGATGGATCCACATCTGAATGAAAAAAACAACAACCACAGACGTGAACGCACAGTCGCACTTTAACATTACATCTGAGGACATGGCATTGTGTTTCCCTTTGTTCCTATAGTATAACACGCTCCCGTAGACTAAGCACACAGACTTGCATTCGAGGACCATTCTCAGCACAAGATGTACGTTTGAGGACAACAAAGAATTTGTCGTTCTCTCTTTGCGTGTCTGTCCTCAGGATGTATGTAATACAAGAGCGCATCTGAAACATTTGTATTTTTTGGGTAAAATTTTTTGGTGAAAAAAAGTGGTAATCACAAGTGCCACAAGAACAAAGACATTGACAAATTGGTAGCCACATAGCTGGAAACTCTGGGTTTTTTCATAGGTTGCAGGCTCCAAGTCCACTCAAATTCCTTTTTTAACCTTAGGGCATCCATTTTTATTTCTATGGTTCTCATAATTTGTTTTGGTCTCTGAAGTAGGATCCGTCGGACGGTCGGTCAGCAAAAATTATTAATCTGAAATTTTTTTAAAAGAATCTTCATGCTATTGTAAAAATCTGAAGATAAAATAAAATTGCAGTTGCACCCGTATAGATGACAAAGTAAAATAAAGCCAAATATTGTCTCTTGTTTTGTTTATTGCAATGAGATTATTACAGGTTGATATCATGAGTGTCGTGGCCTCATAGTCTGGAGCATTGTTATTTGATGTTCATATTTTTATCACTCATACATTTTTTGTTAGAGGGGGTTCCACACAGGGTAAGCGGTAATAACTTCTTTTTTTCATTCTATGGTCAGGAGCCCCAAAAAGCGTCAGTCAGAAACGAAAACCAAAGAATTAAAAAGGAATGCCCTTATACTGATTAAAAACTGTCACCGATTGTCAGAATTCGTCTGTTACCCCTTCAGCCAGCAAAACAATTATTCTAATGCACTACTAAGGGAGAACTCCCCCATACTTTGGTATTTCTAGTTTCACTTTGTGTCAGTTCAGAACTATTTTCCACAGTGTCACTATTTTTCATGAAAAAATACAAGATTCTCAAAGCAGTCTGACGAAAGTTGAATTACTCAAAACTTCGTCAAATAAACACATTCCTCCCTCGCCTGTGAACAAAAAAATTAAAGCACATACGTAGAGTCACGTGGTCTCTAAATGTATTTAAAAAAATACAAACTCAATAGTTAAGAAACAAGCACTTGGGTCATCATTACAAAAAAAATAGAATTCAAACATTTTTTTACTGTTAAATGTCAATTTCTGGTGGGTTTTATAATAGGGAAGAAATCAGGAAAAGTTACAGATTTGAGCGAAATCTAGTCAACACTCACATCAAAATCTGGGAACACAGGGAGGATCTCTACTGGCTTGACATGTGGCTTACTGTAGTGCTGCTCAATCTGGGAACAACAAAAAGAGGAAAAGAGGTTTGTGAGAAATAACCCATCAAGATAATACTGTCGTAATATAAACTAACCCTCCTGCTATTTAAGCAGTCCCAGACAGTCAAACTTCACTTCCACTTCCCCTGCTATACTTTTAACAAAGGCTAGTCACCAGCAGTCAGATTATAATGTCAAGCAAGCACTGTGACTAGTCAAACTGGGTCAACAGACAAAGCAGGCAAGTTGTGGTCACTCACCCGGAGTCAAAGCATAGCTGTATCAAGTTACTTAAGCAGTCCAAGGCAGTCAATCCTGCTTTATGTGGGCTGGGGATTCTTGAGGGTTGAAAATGGTCCGATTGATTTTGACTGCAAGGACAACTTGGCACAGAATGTATGTTTGCATAGGAGGGTAAATATTTGCTGGCGTAGTTGTGACGTCAACTTGATACAACCATGGTTACAGGTTCGCGAGCACTGCAAAGGCCCAGTGAACACCGTGGCTTCACTATGGCTGTTGTGAATCCGTTTCATAATTGGCTTGATGCTCCTCGTTGAAGCCAAAATAAGCACGACTGCAGCTGTAACTGGTGTGGTGACAATCTGCTGAAAGGCAGTGAACCATCTTCAGGTACTAATTTGTGAAAATGTTTAATGAAAGTCGGTTGTTAAATTGCTGTCTGTGATCGTGTGTGTAAAACGTACATGAAAGTTGTCGTTAAGGAATGCATATGAACCGCTGTGGAGAAATGAGCCTAACCTGGGGAGGAGGTGACGTCACACTTTCTCAGCGTATACAGATAGTACTGTCATCAAATAATTAGCATTCCTTACATATTACTACCACATACCAAATTTTCCTAATCAATGCGATCGTTTAGACTTACTGGTACTTTGGCATCTTCAAATGTCTTCTCTATCGCCGCAATCTGACTTGCTTGGTCCTGACAGTTGGCAAAAAAATAACGACATGAATAAGACAAAAAGTAATGACAGAAATCACACAGTTACTATGCTGATCAACGAAGCGTGTTGTAAGAAGGGATGTAGTCGAGTCCATCACAAGTCCATCACAAGTCCCTGCAAGTCCATCACAAGTCCTCCAGTCCCAATTCAACTCACAAACTATTTAAATGATCTTTGACAAAGGCATTCCTTTGTCATTGTTCATCCTGTTACTTGTGACTAGACTTGTGAATGGACTCGTGAATTACTTGTGACTGGACTTGTGATGGACTCGACTACATCCCTGGTTGTACGACTTCCCCCGAAATGAAAAAGAAGACGGGTTGGAACTTATAACAATCAAACAAAATCACCATAGATGCAAATTGTATAAAAAATTACACGAGCCAGCCTAACTCCACATTTACTCCTCATTGCAACTGTCCACATACTTCAGCGAAAATCCCATGGGTTTTTAGTTTGGGCAAAACACACTTTGCCTTTTACTAACGCATGATTGGTATGACTCTCAATCCCCCAACCATGGCATTCATTAACCTGAATGGCTAAAATCCAGTATGGCCTGATATTAACTCAAAAGTTATATTCTTCATACTTGGACACCTTTTGCTACATTCAGTTACAGTGACTGAACATGTACATCTTTAATAGTCCATCAACCTTAACTCCCTTGGCATTTTTGCTAGGATGCAACCTCAATCCTACAAAATCCTCCAACTGCCTCAGTGTAAAAATGGCATACAGCCTCAATCCTGCAAAATCCACCGTTATTTCCTGAATGTGGTCCTTGGAAGGGTGACCACTGCCTCAATCCTGCAAGATCCTCCGGCAATCACTGTCAATATGTTGAAGCAGAGCCACTGACATCCTGGAGCAGTGCAGAGGATTTCAAGTATAATATAGGCCTAAATGTATGCACACCTGAGCATAAATAACACAAGGTTCGGCCCAGGACCTTGGCACAGTGCATCCTCCGAAATCAGCAACACACTTTTGCCATGGGAGTCAGGTTGGCGTAGCGCTACTTTCCTTCCCTTCCACCGCTGTGACTCGGGTTCGAATCCCGCCTGGGCCAATATATGGATTGGGTTTTCAGTCCCTGCCTGATTCTGTGGGTTTTCCCCAGAATATTCTTCCGGGCTTTTCCTCCCACCTCTAAAACTGTAACTTCTTCTCATTGTCTTCTCTCCACAGGTTACTTCAGGCTTGTGAGCTACAGTGCCTAGGGCGCTTTTGAGGAATCCTTGGTTTCATTACCAGAAATGATTAATAATAATAATGTAGCCTCAATCCTGCAAAATCCTCCATTTTGCAAAGAGGATTTTGGAGGATTTGGGAAGGTTTGGGTTAAAACAGTATGAAACTTGGGTGAGGATTTTGATGGTTCAGGATAGAAATGGTTGAAAAGGAACAAGATTTACCTTGTATAAATTCTCTTCGTTGAACTGCTTCTTCAGATGATAGGCTACCCTGAGTTGGAAAATAACAAGTGTTCCGACGCATTCAATAAAAGAAACAGACTTGTTGATGTGTTTCTTAAAAGCCCTCTTTTTGGGGGTGATTTATACTTGGATGACTTCAGCTCCCTCTGAGGTTGGTAAGTTTGAGTATGAGAATAAGAAGAAATGTTTTTAGTTTCGGACAAGTGGGAAGAATACTTTTAAAAACTAGCAAAATCCAATAAAAAAACAAGAAAGTTTTCCTACACACTATTCAAAACATTTTTACCTATAAATAACAAGGACTGAAGAGACTTAAACCTTTTCTTTGCATAAACAAAATGAAATTTTGCTGTAACTACCGGTACCTTGATTTTTTTTTTTGAATAAATGTAATTAAATTTTGCTGTCACAAATGTGAAATGCCTTAATATGCATGACGTTCAAAATAGTTTCCACATTTATATCATGCACTGCCTGAGTCCGGCATCTTGACATCTTGCAATTACATATGCCACATTGGAGGTAGCTAAGCCTGCAACCACTGCCTATAGACATGTGCATTACTGCTGGCCACGGCCATGGAATTCCAATGCATCCTAATATTACACATTGATAAGAAAGATGGTTAGAAGTCTGAAATAAGCCCATGGTGGTGGGTCTTCTTACTTTGTTTCTACTTTGTCTCTGCTGTACTGGGATCTGTTGTATTCGCTGGAGATGTATTCTGTCTTCCTCAGCCAAGACACGGCCTTGGTGTGCTGCCGCGATCTAAAACAGAGATACAAAAAAACAAGAGTTGTAATCAAGGCATCAGAAGTCATCCGACGTCAATCACAAGTCATCAGACTTCTGTCACAAGTCATCAGAAGTCAGTCACAAATGATCAAAGGTCAGTCATAAGAACTTAATCACAAGTCATCAAAAGTCATAAGAAGTCAATCACAAGTTATCAGTGGGCAGTCATACAAAGTCAATCACATCAGAGGTCATACGAAGTCAATCACAAGGCCTCAAAAGTCAATCACAAGTTATCAGAAGTCAATCACAAGTTATCAGAGGTCATAAGAAGTCAATCACAAGTCCTCAGAAGTCAATCACAAGTCATCAGAAGTCAATCACAAGTCCTCAGAGGTCAGTCATAAGAGTTCAATCACCAGTCATAAGAAGTCAATCACAAGTCATCAGAGGTCAACCACATGGCATAAGTGAAGAAGTCGAGCACAAGTCAACAGAGGTCATAAGAAGTCAATCACAAGTCCTCAGAAGTCAATCACAAGTCATCAAAAGTCAGTCACAAGAGTTCAATCACCAGTCATAAGAAGTCAATCACAAGTCAACAGAGGTCAACCACATGGCACAAGTGAAAAAGTCAATCATACGTAATCAGAGGTCATAGGAAGTCAATCACAAGTCATAAGAACTCAATCACATGTCATCAGAGGTCAGTCACATGTTATCAGAAGTCAATCACAAGTCATGAGTGGTCAGTCACAAGTCACCCAATCCAAAGTCTAGTTACGATGTCAATTCCAATGAATCATAACAAAGGCAGATCATCCCCTACTACTTGTTAACCAGTTCACATCGGATGATGTGTATACACGCAACGAGCGAGGCCGGAAATATCTGTCTGCGACCCGCTCGCAGCAAGCGAGGCCGGAAATATCAGGGTGTGCTACCAGCAGCTGTCAGTCTGAACCAGTCTGGCATCAAGGTTTGTGAAAACAATCCCATGCCAGGGTTCGGTCAATGTCAAAATAATCCCGGCGCGAACTGGTTAACAGGACTTGAGATGAATGTGATTCCATTTCTATAGTGCTCAACTACACAATACATTGCCTACATGTAGTTAGTCTACATGTACGTACATGATTTGCAAAAATCAGCCTAAAACCAGTCAGATACAAGATGCAGTTTCCCCAAGTTGAGACACAGCATTGTTGGAGAATCCAGATAAGCAACATCTCTGGGAAATTTCACAGGTTGCTTATGGAACTTGAGGACTGCCCATCATTTACACTAGCTAGTATGGTCTTTTGATTACAGATAGGGATATGCATATTTGGACAATTCATAGATGGAATTTGCGTCGGGGTGAGGTTTTTAATCAAAATTGGGTTTTGCCCTTCACCGACATATTCTAAACACTGTCAGTGTTGCCCAAGAGTGATTGTGAGGAAAAAAATCACTCGGGTGGGACTTGAACCACCCTCCACTCGACCACTGTCCATACTTGGACAAAGTGATATGCTGATAATGTGCAAGAATTTGCAAAACAACTCAAATTCGGACTCTTGAGTTCTTCTGGAACTTATCTGGATACGCTTACTCATTCAAAGTAGTTGATCGGTAAAGCCATGGTATTTGGCTTGATTCTTGCTACACAATCTGATACTTTGAAAAGTCAGTAAATGGACTCAACACTGGTGATATGTCTTAAACCTTTGATAGATTGCAGCCAGGTTGGAGACATTACCTTTTGGAGTCTCCTGGCGTTGCAATTTCCTCTTCGAGTAGTTTCTCATCGGCTGGGTCCAGATAAGCTATCATTGAAGAAACAAGACACATAAATTAATGTTAGTTATAATATATCATGGGAGCAACTATAGAATGCAGGGCCACCCTGGAAAAGGTTTTTTTTTGTAGTTGGATGCGATGTGAGAAGTGGGGTTGTCGAGCAGAATGGCACTCCTTAGAGAACGATGCAACTTAGGAATAGAATGATCATAGGATCAGGTATGAGACAGTGGATGGGTAAATAGAGGGCGGTATGGAGAGCCAAGTACGTAGTATGTACATGTAAACTGATTAAGACCACGCGGCTTGGGATGTCTGCGCGGCTGCGGGGTGGGCATGAAGTAAATTTTAATCCATACAGGGCGCTATAGAGAGCCAAGATAGTAGTACATGTATATGTACATGTATACTGTGAGACGTACGGCTTTGGATGTCTTGGATGCCTTGGATGCGGGGTGGGCATGAAGTAACTTTAAATCAATAGAGGGCGCTATAGAGAGCCGACTGCGCATCCACGCAGCCATGGATGCGCGGATATAGAATGGAGTGGCCCTGTATTCTATAGTTGTACCACTCATGGTCTAAATTGTTGTGGGATAGCTTTACCATTATTTTTGAAATTTTTGACAAGACCGGGATACTTTTTTTTTATAAGGACTGATGAGGCAATGGTCACCCCTCCACAGAACAAAATATAGAAATACCAGGATGATATTAAAGGACTGAGGCTGAATCCAATTTTAGTGAATAATGTAATTGGTGGCAATTGGAGGATTTTGCAGGATTGAAGACGGTTCCTAGCCAAAAGGGCCTAGGCAATTTAGGCTAAGGTCCGATAAAAAAGTGAAAATTTAATAGAAACCCAGACCTACCACTGCTATCTATCCTGTAAGTGTCTGGGTTGATAAGATCGATGGTGACCCCCAGGTCGTGTTCGGCCAGCAGCTCATGTTTGTAGTTGCGCTCGAGCGAGGTGGCGTTGTACTTCACAAACCGGTTGGCCTCAAAGGGGTAGGTGATGAACTTGGGGTCAAAGGGTATGTCTGGGAGGTTGTTGCTGTACTTGATGCGGCATACCAAATCCGACCTGTTGGTCAAATTATGAAAATGTTGTTCAAGGTCATTCCATAAATTAGGGTCCAAAAGTGTGACTTTTTGTGTCCCTGTTACACCTATCCTGTGTAATTTGCCATGCAAGTATCGTTGAGACTTCAAACTATTTTTTTTTAAAATTTGTTAGGCAAGTACTTTGGTTCGCATGATTACTCTTGGAGATAGAAGACATCAGAGAATGTGTCCTGAATTTATAAATATCATATCAGATGAAACAGGAACACCAAACATTTGAGCCCAAATTTTTGGAAAGACCCTTAAAGGGAACATTTGTATTTTTCAGAAATGGATGGATTTGGGGGGTTAGTATTTCAGAAACACTGACTTGTTTGAAGTTTTGTGTTCGATAGATGCTAGGAAAACCAAGAAAAACAGTCATGGTCCTGTAGTCTGGTTCCCTGACCCCACTTAAGATGAAACAGAGCAATTTATAGACGTCAGGGAGTTGTAAGGTCACGGAACCAGTCTAGCTGGCTTGTTCCCGTTCATAGGTGTGTAATCGATTGCAAACACAATGCAGACTAACACCAGGTGCCATGATTTTACAGGATGCTTTTAGACGGTCATTCACTAACAATCCAGCAAGGTGTTTCATAATAATTTTGTAGTCTTGTTTTTTGATGTTTGCAAATGTTGTATATTCCCTTTAACTAAGGGTTCAAAGAATTCGCCATTACCAGCAACCTTGGATACTGAGCAGTGGGTATCATATTGGTTTACAACAGATCCCACTGTGAAGTAAATGTCACATAAAACTTTTTAAAAGTAATATTTTTCAAGAGAACATTTTCAAACTTACTTTCCTGGAACAGTTCCCCTTGATCTGAAAAATAGAAAGGCAGGTGACTTTATCATAGTAATATCAGGAATTAATGCAAAATATCACGGACTCACACATACAAAAATGCAAACAACAATGAATATGTACACAATCTCCTATGTGTGACAGCAACTTGGTTATTGTGTGCAAAAGTCTACAGGATAATGTGATCGTTTTCTAATGACATTATCTGGCAATAGTATAGCCCCATAAATGTGGCCTATTTACTGGACTGCCTCCGTAAACATAGGCCACACATCCACATGTACAAAAATCGTGTCGACGGAGCCAAATTTTGATTTTCACATTTAGGCTTAGTTTGTAGGGTTTTTTTGCTTTAGAAGCATAATCACCCTCTTTACAGGCTAATCAGAAAGTGCTGCCTTTTTCAGATGTCTAATTTTTGTGAAATTTCATGTTGAAATTTTGATACGCAAACGTGTAAAAATGAATCTGGAAATTTAACGAAAAATATACATCTGAAAAAGGCAGCACTTTCTGATTAGCCTATAAAGAGGGTGAGTATGCTTCTAAAGCAAAAAAACCTACAAACTAAGCCTAAATGTGAAAATCAAAATTTGGCTCCGTCGACACGATTTTTGTACATGTGGATGTGTGGCCTATGTTTACGGAGGCAGTCCAGTAAATAGGCCACATTTATGGGGCTAGCAATAGTATAGAGAACCTTTCATATCAGTGCTATAACAAATCATCGCGCATTCATTGCCCACCAAACCATCAGCTTTTACAAAAAAACAGTGACTTTGTATTCACGAGTTTGGGAATCCCCCTAGCCCAGGTTGGACGAAGTCTGCATTGCATTACGACTAACGTCCAGGATGAGAATTCTCTACATAAGACCACCCAAAATTTGGACCAGATTTTTGTTACGTTTTACCTCGTTACAGAAGCTTATTTCACGCCTACATTTTCTATGTGTCCTTACCTATTAGCCTTAGGCTGCTGGGTTCAGGAATTCCATATGTGATGCTGACCGACATTAATCAGGAAAATAAACTCTAAAGCAGCGTTAAACTTGTACGTGTTTGTAGTCTCTTTTCATCAGTTTATTCCCAGAGTCGTACGTCATGTACAAAGTACGTGCATACGAAAGCGCGCACGCACGCTAGCGCCCTCATTTGTTTAGTTTTGGTTGGAACCGTGACGTCACTCCAGCCAACCGATGTCACGAAAACGCTCAACCAATGACCAAAGCCGAGACGTGTTTCTGCTAACTGGCGCGAAAACACGCTAGGTCATTGGATTAGCGACCGCGCCTTCAAGTAAGTGCGCGTGCGTATGAGGGTGGTTACTAAGCAAATCGCGCGTGCGCACTGCATATTCATGCTGCATAGTCTGGCCCCCGGACCAGACGTGATATGAGCGTCGAGAATAATTGTCCGGTCTAGGGAACCAGACTACACGCTGCACAGACGTACATCATGTACGACTAGAATAGACTCGGCGGTGAGAAACTGATGAAAAGAGTCTACAAACACGTACAAGTTTAACGTTGCTTTCGAGTTTATTTTCCAGATTAAGGTCGGTCAGCATCGCATATGGAACTTCTGAACCCAGCGGCCCAATAGATAAGGACACATAGAATACTACGACGTAAAAATTGGCTTCTCCAAAGAGGTAAAAATATTAAAAATATTGGTCAGAAATTTTTCCACCCGGTTTTGAGCACTTCATACCCTGGACTCCCTCCGTTACATAGGGAGGAAAGGGAGTCCACCTGGTCCTGGGCTAGGAATCCCCCTAAAATAATGCAATTTCGGACTTCAAATTTCCCTTGAAAAAATTCTCCAGAGTGATGAATCAGAAATTTAAAAAAAATATATTCTGCAATTAAATGTAGGATTCGATTTGAAACAATAAAAGACAGCAAGTCTTCCTTTTTGGGACACAAAAAATAAAGTTTCAAAAACAATCGCCAGGCTGGGACTAAAACTTAGTCTGCTACTTTTCTTTACCATACCGTATACCGCGCAGTGAGCAACCAGCAGGAGAGTTTACGTCACAAAACCTAGTGTTAATCTTCGCCTCTATAATTACTTACTTCCTGTCTCGATCACTTCTCTTCTCCCCACTTTGTATAGTTGGTGGCATAGGTGCCATTTTAACCAAACACTCTCATCGAGTGCAAGTAAAAACTGGGCAAAAATTAAGAAAATGCGTGAGGTGCATCGGCCTAATCAGCGACTGCGAGCCACAGAACTGCCATGATGGCTGACTGCTGGAAATCCGCGTAAGAAATATCCGATAAAATAATCTATAACGCTAGAGGGCGCACTCGCGGACCGTACCCGCGGACCATCTTTGCAACTGGACCAACTGTGACATGCATGACTTTAATAATAACTCTTGAAAAGAATTATAAATAGTTTTGCAGAACATTGCACTTTATAAATAATTCAATGCGCCACAAAACAGAATTCAGAGCTCTGCGACAGATGCTCTAAATACCGTCGAACAGGGGCGGCGGAACCGGAAAGGGGGGGGGGGGACTTGCCCAGGCCAACAAAAGTGCCCCTCTCGCGGTTATAAATGTGCCCCTTCGAGATGAAAACAAAATTGCCCCTCCAAAGTACACGCATAAAAATATATGCATCGCGCTACAAATAAAATTGTCTCCTCTCTTGTGATGAAAAACTGGCCCTCTAAACACAAGTGCCCCTATCTCGCATTAACAAGATTGCCACCTTCTCGAGATGGAAAACTACCACTCGAAAGCAAATACCCCTCTCGCAATAATAAAATTGTGCCCCTCGAGATGGAAAACTGCCCCTCGGAAGCACAATGTTATTAGTGCATGCCCTGCGCGCTCGCGACATTAAAATTATGCCCCTCTCATGGGAAACTGGCCTTTAAAAATAATAGTGCTCCTATCCTCGGCCTCACGCGAATAAAAAGGTCACTGAAATGAACTGACCGTCAAAAGCAACAGTGCCCCTCTCGCGATAAAAAATGGCCTCTCTGATCTGAGCTGCATAATTCGTCAAATTCATGGCGGATCCAGAGAGGTTACTGCCGGGGGCGGACCTGATGTGCGGTGTGCCGAAAGCCCAAGGGCGGATCCAAGGGGGCGACGGGGCCATGCCTCCCCCTCCCCCCCCCCCAAAAAAAAGAACCCCAAAAGGCAGCTACTACGTACACCACCATCTATTCCTAAAATTAAATTGGTTAAAGGGAATGTACATCATTGGATTTTGCCGTAATTTTCAGAAATGAACTATTTGAGAGGTTAGTATAATAGATCAAATATTGTTACACTGACATTTTTGAAGTTTTGTGTTCGAAAAGGTTGGAAAAACCAAGAAAAACAAAAATGTTCAAGTAGTCTGGCTCCCTGACTCCACAAAAGATAAAATGGATCAATTTATGATGGAAAATTGTAAGGCAAGGGAACCAGTCTAGCTGGCCTGCACCCGTTCATGAACATGTAACCAATAGCAAACAAATTTGGACTGAACAAATGGTATTTTTGGAGCAGTAGTTGAAAAATAGTTAGGTTTTTCCAACGCTGGTCGGCCGACCACCGTTGGAAATGTTTACAAAAATACCATTTTCTTGAAAATGACTTCACACCATACCAGGTGCCATAATTTTACAAAATGCTTGAGACTGTCATTTACCAACATCCTAGTAAGGTATTTCGTAAAAACTTGGTAGTTTTATTTTTCGATGTTTGCAAATGTTGTATATTCCCTTTAAAGTGGTCAGAAATTGCCTCATATAGCACCACAGAGCATCTAAAATCCATTTTTGCGAGGCCGGCCCGAACCTCCACGTCTTGAATTTGTGGACCCACCTTTTTGGGGACCAATTCCTCCCCCCCCCCCCTAAAAAAAATAATAATTGTGTTCTGGATCCGCCATTGCGGAGGCTCTCACTTTCACACCGACGGAAAGGTACCCCTTTTCTGGATAAGTGCCCCTTTTGGGTGATCCCCCCCCCCCTCAGTTTGAAAAGCGTTACGCCGCCCCTGCCGTCGAACTACTAGAGCAAGGAGAGGCTTAGATGCCGTTTGGAACAACGATAGCATGCACGGCAGATCGGATCAAACCAATTAAAAGGATGGTGCCATGCCGTGCCGAACTCATTTGCCGAATTTATCAAAAAGTCTAATTAATAATGGAGTTCGGCACAGCAGTGTCGCAGCGTCTACCCCGCTCAGAATTTGGGGAAGGTAAAAATGAGCCTTGAATTGTTTAAAACCAATTGAGAGTGTCCCTCTAGAAAGCTAGAATAAGGTCCCAATAATGATGGACTCGACGATTGACCGCAGTTGCACCGTTCGGAAACAAAAATTGTATTCACAATTCGATATGGGTGCTTTTGAGGGGAGGGCCAGGGGAGTCTGCGGGGCACAGTACAACTTGGCGTATACGTGAAGGGATTTGTGGAAACTTTCAACATTTGATTATTTTACTTTACGTGTTGATTTTGGAAGCTGGCAGATTATCTAGAGTTTGAAATCCGTCTATTCTTCAAACATAATACCCTACACAGTACGGGGTAGGCCTACGGGGGGTACGTGTGCGAATCACGCGATGAACGGCGCGGCTCCCGTATTTTTTTAAAGACGTGTACTGCATTAAAGGATGGAAACCATAGTTGTCGAACAATTAAAGGCAAATCCGAAAACGTGATAATTTCCAAAATGTTGTTGCTTAAATTCAACTGGGCCCGGTTCGAAGGACGCCAGCCAGGCGCCAGGGGGCGGCCGGGGCGCTACGACCGAGCGAATCATTATTGAGTTTTTTGGATAATAATTGAGCCGCTATATATGTGTATAGCGCCCCCTAACCAGAACACAGAATTTTTCGGATCGTTTTAGATGCGAAAATCTATTGAGTCTAGTTCCCAGAATTCTGTAAACGATATACTAATGCGTCTTACTTGGAGTACAGCGGCAGTGTCGGTGAACAGTCAACATTGATTTTTCCTGTCAAATCGCCTTGGTAAAGCGGAACAAAGGGAACTTTCAGATTTGTGGAGACTTTAAAGTTCACAATTTTTCAACACTCAGGTATGGCTTCTCGAGGCCCATCACCGCTTTCACAACCTGGAAGTCAGACCCAGTCTGGTACCCCAGGAGGTCCGTTAGGCGCCTCTCCAGCAGCGGGCAGTGCGGTGGCCAGTCAGCAACCGCAGGCCGCGCAGCCGTCTCAACAATCACAACAATCGCAGATAGATTTGGACCCCATCGCTAAAGTGAAGTCGTTGGTTCCACATTTAAAAGAATCACTGTCGGTAAATGAGTTCTCGATTGTTTTGCAAAAAGGTCTAATATTATTATTGCAACCAAATGTGATCATTTGTAAAGTCTGGACTGTTGAGAATGATGCCGAATGAGTGTGTGAAAATATTCGGCGGCATTTACGTTAGCATGGTTGATTAGCCCACCACTTTTTGATTGCGACCAGTTTCCATCCAACACTCCAGACTCAAGAACCATTTAAGTTTAGGTCTGGGAACTGGACAATGTTAAGGAGCTCCAAGGTGTCCGCCTATAAAATGTTAAATTATAAAGATTCTCAACTAGTAATTTAGTGAACATCTTCACAGTATCTCAAAATGTATAGCTTTTTTCCCCTCAATTCTCAATAGTTTTATCTATTAAATTAGGCCAAATGAAAAAAAATGTTTAGCATCCTGCCCCTTCCTTTTTGGAGGGCGCCCCCTTTGTTTTTTTTAAATTGAAAAAAATAAAATAAACCCCAAATGATAAATTTTAACAGTGACATCATTTTTAGCCCGGACGGTCTTTTTGGAAATGGGTTCGGGCGCCATTTGGGAGAAAAGCAAAGAGCCTCCTCCTTCCTTTTTTTCAAAAAGGCAGGACGCTAAACATGTTTTTTTTATTTGGCATTAAGTTTCTCTTGTTTTGTACACAGAACTTGATGAGGGTCTCTGCATTGAACTTCCACTATTCAGCATTGATTGACAATGCTTCACCGTAAGTAGCACTTGCCTTCAAAAAATTGCATGGAATTGACAAGTTGACATTTGGCTGGTAAATTACACATCTTAAAGGGAATATACAGCATTTGCAAACATCGACAAATAAAACTACCAAGTTTTTACAAAATACCTTACTACATGTAGGATGTTGGTAAATGACAGTCTAAAGCATCCTGTAACATTATGGCACCTGGTGTTAAGTCATTTTCAAGAGAATGGTATTTTGGTATACATTTCCAACGGTGGTCGGCCGACCACCGTTGGAAAAACCTAATTATTTTTCAACTACTGCTCCAAATTAACCTTTTTTCAGTCCAAATTTTGTTTGCTATTGCTTACATGTTCACGAACAGGTGCAGGCCAGCTAGACTGGTTCCCTTACCTTACAATTTTCCGGCATCTATAAATTGATCCATTTTATTTGTAGTGGAGTCAGGGAACCAGACTACTTGAACATTTTGTTTTTCTTGATTTTTCCAGCACTTTTGAACACAAAACATCAAATGTGTCAGTGTAACAATATTTGATCTATTATACTAACCCCTCAAATAGTTTGACTGGATGGGGATTGTTAGGATTAAGCAGGGTCTTCCTTTCAAGCCAATTTAAATGCCCTTGGAAATCAACAGGTGGAGTTGTTGTACCAGAGTTAATCAATGGTGCTTGGACACAGCATTTCATCTCATTGTTTGCTGTGATTTTTTTACCTGTACAGGAAAGCAAGTGATGCCTCCATTCAAAGATTTGACAAAAGCTTGGAGGAATTCTACTCAATCTGTGATCAGGTAGAAGTAAACTTGGTGAGTACTTAAATACACATTGTTTTTAATTTGCATCCATTTGAGTACTTTCATCAAGGAGTGGTTTTGTGTTATTTTCTGGTCACTAACGTGGATTTCTGATTTCTGGATTTCTGAACTGGTTTCTATTGCAGAGGTTATCCTTGGACTGTTCCAACGAGTATGTGGACAGCATTCGCCACACCCCTCTCCCAATGTCCACCTCCAAGTCCGAGCCCACTAACAGCGGGGAGAGTCAAACCTACTCCCAGTATGTCTCCACAGTCAAGTCCCAGATTTCGTACGCCAAGGAGGTCCACGACGCCCTTTTGGAATGTTCCAGTAAGATAGGGGAAGGCAAGACGTAAATCTCGGACTAAGTGATTCCATTGCTGACTTTACTTCCCTGCATCGTCGTGGGTTGGATGTTTGGCCATGTTGAATCTCGTGGATAGAGAAGGAGATGCTGTCTAGGTGTCATCAATTACAACTACATGTACATGGGAAAATAGCCATAGTTGTAGTTGTGGGAGACGATTCGACATGGCTTTGTGATCCTGGTTCTCGGTCGAATCAGGCTGGTTTCCTTAGAATGCTCAGTTTAAAGTGACCTTCACGAGTCAGAGGACCAGACTCGGATGGCTGCAGCTTAAGAAGCTCATACACTATATGAACTGACTAAGACTAAATAAAACCAAACTCACCTGGTTCTTTTTCGAACCACCTCTCTCTTTAGAATCAGTGTCTTCATGTGGAGTTATAAGCAAACAACCAAGTAAGACTTGGAAGTTAATTTTACAGATTGAGCATACCACGCTGTGACAAGTCATCATTGCCTGACCCTTTAGACTATTGATTAAAAGACCATTCTCCTAAGAGGAATTGATATCACGAGATCGAGTAGTAATCTATAGGATTCTGGATGCGTACATGTACGTGTATTTCAGTGCCATTTTAACCTCACTGATCACATTATGACCTAACTTTTTTCCCCAAGATGGCGGATAGATTCTTCAATTTTCTTGACTATTTTGCTAATACAAAATTGTGTCCAAAGGAGTCATAACCCTTTCTACCGGTACATTGCGATTATTTTGTTGGAAACAAATACAAAGACAATACGGCCTATATTGACAATATAGCAAATTTATGAATAAAAAAAGCGGACATTTCTTTTGATTTGATATTGATATCTTTTGCATCGTTTTTATTATGTAAGTAATCGAACAAGTTGAGGAGATTCAATTTGGTGTCCCTAATGAAAGGTTAAACAATGAACTACGTATGCGCTAAGAGCCGACTTCCACCTTGTTTTTAAATTATCTTGTTTAGCACCGGTCGCAAGTTGCCAACCTATTTCAACTTGAAAAGTTTCTTGAAAGCAAGAGGGCGCCATTCAATTCCCATGCAGTTGATACAAAGGCCATTTTCCATATCTCGGCTTCGTCGCAGGTTGGGCTTTTCTGACTCTAGAACCATTTGAGAACGTTTTTAATGGCCAAACCAGAACGGTCTTTCCTTCCAGGGGCGGATCCAGGAATTTTCGCAGGGCTAGGGGGTTTCATCAGCAAAAAGATCTGAAAATGTACATAGGTTTTTAAGTAGTATAATTTGTTTGGGGGTGTCACGGGGGGGGGGGGGGGTTCGACTTATTTTTTAGGAATTTGTATGATAATTTTTTTTTTTTTGACAGCTGGTTTTTTTTTTACCCCCAAACCCCCCTCTGGATCCGCGCCTGCTTTCATTACAGTCGTGTATTAAACGATGACTAAATATAACATAGACCCTTTTTGAGCCATGGTCTCACCAATTCCGGGGCCTAAGATCTCCCTAAGGTTAACTGGAGGAGACAACACCCAAAAAAATCTTCAAGATGAAATCTATTCGGATTTTAGTGAAGATTTTCAAGTGAGATATGCATATTTCAAAGCTGTCTGTAATAATAAGACATCGCAATAAGTATTTCTTTTATCTTTATGCGTGTAGGGCTGAAATTTGAAATTTCAACCTGATTGAATACCTTTTTTTTTCATTTCATTTCCTATTTTTCTTCAGGTTTTCTTTTATTGTTAATTTGAGTTAGGAGGCATTTTTACAAAGACGTTTGCTCTTATTTCCAATTATATCGTGCAATGAATTTGATAAATCCTGCAGAAATCCACCGAGTAACCATTCTGTTGTTGAAGGGGTCAAAATCGCGCTCTTATTATGAGGAAAAAATATCTGATAAATGTTTTTATGAAAATGCGAACAACTCTTTGTGTTAAAAAAAAAAAAAAAAACCCAATTAAATAAGAAAAATGTCCCCATCCGTAGCCACCAGTGAGATTTGAACTCACGACCCCTGGTTTACAAGACCAGTGCTCTAACCACTGAGCTATGGTGGCTTCTACATGCATTAGAGAGGATAGAACTAGTTTTATTGTTAGTCAACCGGAACAATGGCCACCAAGCAACGCCTTGCCGAACTTGGCATGCTTTGTGTAATATTGCTTGATGTCATTCCAACGTCTCTGGGCTTAAGCCATGGAGGATTAAGCGTCTTTCTTTGCTTGGATCATGAGGTGGAAGTTAGTTCGACAAACAACACTTTGTCGCCTCTTCATTATGGCATTAGGCTAGGTAAAAAAAACCCACCAGTTGATCGTCCTGTTTTTTTCCTTCAAAAAGAGTAGGGCCTTTTTGTATATATATATTTTTTTATTATTGAAAAATAGGCTTAAATAGCCATATTTAGCTTTATAAAGGAGGAGGCCCTTTTTATTTGATAGTTTTTGGTTGTCTACTAGTTGATGATCACAAAACCTTCTTAGCACAAAAGTGCTTATTGCAGCCTCAAAAAAAGAAGCGGGCGGGGACGATCGACTGATTTTTTTTTTTTACTTGGCCTTCTGAGAGATGCCTTCATGCATATGGCGGTCACAATCCGGTTCGTGATCGTAAGTGTAATGTCATTTCAACTTATTAAACCACGCCCACTACACACAGTAGCATTGAAATTCATTGAAACCATGAAACATACAGTGTGTGACGCGCGCATGCACCACTGATTTGGCACTTCTTTCGGTACCAATGATTTCAACTCCGTGTGGGCGTGGTTAAAGTTGAAACAATGTATCACGTACAAACCAGATTCTGACCGCCTACACACGAATTATATCTCTCATTATGCCATCATGAAGAAGATGGACTTAGATTTCACAGTAGCCTATGCAAAATCTGCCGGATCTTAGACAATGTACATTTTAAACAGTGTAAACTCGAAGGGGCCAATTCCATGGCGCTCTTAACAGTACAAACGGTAAATATAAGCAGAACATTAGTTTTGCTAACTTTAGCAGAACATTTTACTATTAAACGCTATTTCACGGCATGGATGTGCTAATGGTTACGCGCGTATGGAGATTTCTGTTACATGCAGTGTTTATCGCTCACTGCCTCTTTAAATAGGAGGCTCTTCAGGAACGTCTGGAACGAAGATCTCAAAAGCAGAGTTTGAAGCGCGTATGATGACTCTCTAGATTCTACCCACGACCACGTTCTCACTGAGTTCTGTTATGAGACAAAGTCAGTCCCCGGCCGGCCCGAGGGGATTTACAAATGATGTGTATCAGCCTGGGATTTCCGGTTAGGCATAACCCGTGGTTATACACGATTCGTATCCGAAATCACGGTCGGGTCATCCAAGGATTCCTGTCCGTCGCGCCGGTGTTCGACCCGACTCCACCCAAAATCCGTTGTGAGCACCCGGAAGTGTTGACCCCAGATTCACCGATTATCAGCTCCTGCAGTGGGCAGGGCGGACGGAGACATCGGGCGACGAAGACATCGCATATTATTAGCCTGAAAACGTTGTTTTGCTTCACGTAAAGATTTCAAACTATAGGCACACGACGGTTTTAAAGTGAAATTCGTCCAATCAAACAGATCGCGTTTTCACACTAGTTTCATCAAAAATGTTTCAAAGTATTTCAGTATTAAATTAGAGCGATTGACAATTTAATAAATCGTCTAATCTCTAGTTTCATTCCTTGGAAACTATAGAGAGTAAAATAATAAAAACAGTGACAGTTCAATCTCGGTTGTCATAAACGCTGACTCGCTTTTCACAAAGTTTACGCTGATTTCCCACGCCCGGCAGTCGGACCTCTGCCGACCAAATCATCCCAAATGTGTATATGTGTTTCTCATTGACTCGGTCAAAACAAAAATCTGGCTCAATTGTCACTGGTACAAGTACAACAACTTGCCCGATTGTTGCGTCGGTTGTCCGTCACTCACCAAGGATCGCGGCCAGTGTATTAGTGAGCTCAGTGAGTTAGCAGCTGGTGGGTATTGCATGCTGCTGGGACATTGCTGGGGTAATGGGGAAAAGGCCGACCTTCGTAAAGTGGGGTCATTGCTCTTGCAGTGGTGTGCGACGAATTAAAGATTACTGCACATGTTCATGCATGCTGTTTTCGAGTTTCATTTTTCGAGTTTCATTCATGCTGTTTTTCGAGTTATTTAAAAAAAATGGTGTTACGTCACAATGATTATTACTTCACAAATTTCGTATAATGCGACCCAACAATAATTCAGTGCGGGTAGGGTAGACTGGGTCCTGTCATCCTACCAGGACTGAGGGACCGGAAACCAGTCTACTCGCAGAGTGAATTAAAGTCGTGCGCAAAAGCACCCGAAAATTACCGGCTCAGTTTTGGATGGTAAAAGATATAGACGGCCAAGATAGAAACAAAGTAGTTTTTACGTGAAACTAAAACACACAGGTTAGAGGAAAATTGTTGAATTTGTTGAATAGCAGTGACAGTACATCTTTAAAGGGTTCGTAGTTAGTGCCTGAGAACTTCGAAATTAGTGTGTATGGGTATAATTCGTCTGTGTGTCGCTCTGTATATGGAAACCATGCATGTAAGCTCCGTTTTTAGTGCAATTTGGATTCAAGATGTTAACAATTTTTGTGTCAACAGTGGCAACTTGATTGAGTTCATACCTACTTTCTTTTTAGGCACACAGCGCTACATCCAATAGGAAAATCGGACACCATAGACGGTACCTGATTTCCTACGTTTCTGTAGACTAGAGCGTGGGAGTGCGTCATACATTTAAATGAAAGGATTGGGGCTTTGACATGTTCTTGTTAGTCAGGGAAACTTTGTCTATAGAGAGCAAGATTATCTTTACATACAGGATATGCCTATCGTACACAGCCCCCCCCCCCCCCAGTACCACCACCATGCATGAACCGCTACACACAAAAACCACCATTGCTAAGACAACCATGCTTTACTCACAGAGTGGGAAACTGAAGTCGATAAACGACAGCGATATATCTTTTTACCAACAATCCATATAGTGCTGTGATCAATCAAAATCTTGTTAGTGTCGTTGCTTATACTAGCTTTGATTTACACACAGTCGTCTTTATATTGCGGGACGGATCATAGACATCACCCAGACAAATCACTTCACACGCGCAATCCATTCAGTGGGTCAAACGGATGTAATTGTACCGTTCCACCGTCAAAAGATGAGGCTTTCTACAGACAGGTGATAATGGTATGACTGTGCGATGAAAATGAAGCTTTTCCCTTCAAATAGTAATCTTTAGTTCCTTTTTTATTACAATTTTGATAAATGTTGTTACAAAGTTGTTCCCCTAAGATTTCTCTACTATACGGAGGATTTTAGCCACTTGTGTTCAGAAAGAAAACGTTTTTTTTTTTTTTTTTTTTAGCTCTTCCTCATTATTTATTCACGCTATGTGATTTGTTTGCTCGTTCGTTCTTTTTTTTTTTTGGTTTTTTTTTTGGAAGGGGGGGGGGGGGGTTGGGGTGTGTGTGAAGTGTGTGTGCATGGGGATGGGGCCTGCTATTTTTAAGCTAACAAGTAACATCAAAGCTAACGCGGCAGACTGCACGAAATATAAAGTCAGTGCAGGAGTATGCCCGTTTTCAGTTTTGTAATGAAGTTCGTGGACAATAGGGTAAACCAACGAGGGCGAGGCTATGAAACTTCATACATATCAAAATCGGTGCATGTGCACAATCAAGGGCAATGTAATTATTGGGCTTCGTGCAACTTGAACACGTGCAGTCCACAATGCTAGACATCTGTCGTCTTGCTAGTCTATCTGTCTTCTTGTTTCAAGCATCACTTGCTGTGGCATGTCATTTTTTTAAAAATAGTGAAAGCCTTCAGTGAGACTCGAACTCACGACCCCTGGTTTACAAGACCAGTGCTCTAACCACTGAGCTATGAAGGCTGCGCTGATGATTGATAGAATAATACGAAAATCAGTAAGTCCGCTTTCTTATACAGGTTGTCCGTTCATTGTGTGTAGTGTAACAAAATTAATGCAGACAACTTTTTAACTAATATTAATCTTAAAGATCTCTTTGAAAATGTTCCCTTAGTCAACCTTTAATGTCGGCCGTCTGAGATGTCTGACCAAGGGGGATTACCTCGACCCCGTAGTGGATCACCCAACGACTCAATAGACTGGTATGCCAGTTGATGCCGACGGTAATCTCACTACTTGATCTCTGTCACCCACGCAAATCGCTCCCCGTATAGCGCTCGCAGAGTGCAGTGAGGGCCATGTGCGTGTGTGTATACGGTGGTACAGACCGGGAAACTGCAGCCAAATACGTGAGGATTGGTGACTACCTACATGTATATCAACTCGCTCAATACGCGCATAGCTCAGGCGTTGTCTCCGGTCAGGGAACCTCAGGAAGTTTGGAGAAGTGACTAATGCCAGACTGATTTGTCTTTTTCATACTTGCTCGTGTCTCATGCGAACCCACACACATACACATCCAGCCAGTGCAGTCAGCCAGTACAGTGAAGACACACTCACTTCATCTGACGTTCAGTTCGTGGCAGGCAGGCGCAGATGACAGTTGTATAGAAGAACTGAGGATGTTTCGCTCAGTGCGCGCCGCATTGTTCTCGGTCTCGGCTATTGTTTTACTCTGTTCGCTTTTGGATTCGGCGGGAGCTCAAGGAGCTGTGACGGGGAGAAGGCAGGGATGGAGATCGGTCCGATACGTGGTGGCGTCCAGGACCCCGACAGGGTAAGTTTTTTTTTTATTAAAAAGGGGAGAGATAACATTTAAAGCAAAACAATGACACTTTCTTTCACAACAGAAAGCGTCAGCGGGCCTAAGTTGTAGTTCAGTATTTTTTCATTTGTCCATAGGCAAATGATCCTAATCTCCTTAAGGCAAGCTCCTAGTATTAATACCATGCCCCAGTTCACTGGAAGTGGGAGCTAGGATTAAAAAAACACACTCCAGTAAACTCGCCTGTTATTAACAGGCGAGTTTACAGGAGTGTTTTTTTTTTAGGGACAAGGGTATCTTACACTCCACACAAGTCTACTAGGTCTCGCGTCATTTTCAATCACAGTTAAGCAGGAAATTATTAGTCGAGACACCATCTTTTTCCCTCAGTGCTCGGCCGAGTTTCAGTGGAAGTCTTTATCAGCGACTCTCTGCTTCCGCGTTCACAGTGATAACATTACATTTTGGCGGGCGATAACATTTGTTGCTGTCGTTAAAGAATGATTCAGCGTATAGCACTCGCAGCTACTTTCACTTTAAGAAGAATTGCTTCTTGGTTGTGTAGGTCTTTAGGGTGGGGGAGGGGGTGTAATACTAATAGCTTGTCCAGGATTTGACGGCAAAAAGTACACTTGTGGCCCACGACGACACCAAGGACATTTCATACTCAAACCTTAAGTGACATTTTGAACCCATGCGGCATGCCTGTTCATGTTGGTAATAATAGCGAAGGATCCATTGTCCTGTCCCAATGACAATGAGAGAAAAAGAGGTGCATATTGTTAACTGTTTATTTTGGAATTGGTCCCCATTCATTATGTGATTGAGCCTCGCCTCGATGTTTTTTCTGGCCCTGCACACAAGGTCAAAACATATTGGGCCTAGCATGCCTAGAGCATGTCAATTTGCGTTCTACCGTACCCTTAGGAAATGAAAGCATAATAGGCCAATATGACAGACAGTAATTTGCTGACTGATTTATAATTGGGTGATCTAAAACTACAAAAATGCCGATTGTTAGTCCGAAAGTTTCTAACATTAAATCTTAATACCCTGCGAGCATATTAATGGTGTTTGGTGGACCAGAGAGATGTTTGTGTCGATGCTGGTTTAAGTTTTTGATAGGGATATAATTATGATATGTCACCTTCATGCCCTTCTGTGGACTGTCGCTCTCAAACTGTTGGCCTATGTTCTCACGTATCTGCCCAGGGGCGGATCCAGGAATTTTTTACTGGGGGGGGGGGGGGGGGGGGGGTCAGGCCCAACAGATTTTGTTTGGCCCTATTGTTGCGGACAAGCGGACCTGTAATGCAGCACATTACTTTTTGTGTCAGAGCAGGCGGAAAGGGGGGGGGGGGTAACCTCCCCCCCCCCCGATCTGCGCCTGTTACCGATCCAGGCACGCTATCACTTCTATCACGAAGGCCCCCTTTAATGGTGAAGGCATTGTGCTAGCTATTGTTCAGATATCAGTCCGTCTTGCTAGGGCCAGTTTCCTTGAACAATAGCGTATACAATAGTCTCTCCATTGATGGGGTCAGGTGAGTGTACAGTGATCATGACGTGGCCAGTCTATACCTGTACATGTTATGATGTACATGTACATGGAATGCGTGCATAATCAAGGACCCCATTTTTTTCTCTCTGGCGTCCGCCTGAGGTCTCAGTACAGTAGGTCGGACTCGGTGTCAGCCTATGCGATTCCTTAAACTTGCCGACGCAAACTTTGTTCTAACAGAAACTATGTTTATTTAAATGTTGTCCCCATAAATTATTAGAGGAAGAGAGTCCGCCAAGGTAACGTAATGTTACGAGCAATGCACGTATTACTCATTGCTTCCGTCTGTTGCATAATCCTGCTACAATGTATCACTATTAATGGTTGTTACAGCTGGCTGTTTTTCAGATGCATCGGATTCGACATTAATTGGAACATCACTTCTAATTAAAGTGACAGAAATTCAATTAGAGATCAGTAAATTGGAGTTGATTGGTGTAACTGCTGTCTCTGTCGTGTGCACTATGAGTTTGACGTTGACTTTGCGTAATAGCCAAAGATTAATTTTCGTTGTTTCTCCAAAACAATTTCTCTGATATACTAAGTCTCGTATTAATAAGGATACAAAGAATGTGTAGAACTGATCTAGAAAGTATCTGTTAAAGGGAATATACAACATTTGTAAACATCGAAAAACAAAACTACCAAATTTTTAGGAAATACCTGAATAGGATGTTGGTTAATGACAGTCTAAAGCATCCTGTAAAATTACGGCACCAGGTGTGAAGTCATTTTCAAGAAAAGTGGTATTTTTGTATAAATTTCCAACGGTGGTCGGCCGACCACCGTTGGAAAAACCTAACTATTTTCAACTACTGCTCCAAATTTACCATTTTTTTGTGTCCAAATTTTGTTTGCAGTATTGGTTACATGTTCATGAACGGGTGCAGGCCAGCTAGACTGGTTCCCTTACCTTACATTTTTCTGGCATCTATAAATTGATCCATTTCATCGTTAGTGGAGTCAGGGAACCAGACTACTTGAACGCTTTTATTTTTCTTGGTTTTTCCAGCATTTTTGGAACACAAAACTTCAAACATGTCGGTGTAACAATATTTGATCTATTATACTAACCCCTCAAATAGTTCAAATCTGAAAATTACAGTCAAAGCCAATGATGTACATTCCCTTTAAATTTGCTTGGTTCTATAAGTTTGACTCATTGTGAGTCAAATAAGAAAAGACACGGTTAGACACTACATTGAACGTTCACTGAAATGGTAGGTGAAACTATATGAATGGTTAATGTCAAAACCGGAAATGTGTGGTTGCATGGAATCCCTTGGTGGAGAGAGTCGTTTGGGCTGGTTGAAAACTATCAGAAATATTTGCGGTGGCCTTTGGAAGTCGTATCGATTGACAAAAACCTGGCGTAGTATTTCTCAATTATGGGATACATGCATACCATCACGTAATAGAAATCAATGTGCGCATTACTATCGGAATCTTTACGGTGTTAGGACATGAATCAGTGTAGGTGGTAAACTTGACGGTTGTATATTTTGTTAAAAAAAAATCATGTTGCAAAACTTACTTTTGCTCTATATTGTTGTATGGGGGAGTTGACGTGTACATTAGTTCTATTACATAGGCCGTTGAAACAACTATTGTGGTCGTTTCAAGACTACACCACAGCCCCCACCAAAGCCCATTCTTCTGTATAATCAAGAAGTATATTTTGGAGAAAAAAATAGGATTGGATTCGCTTCAAGTGTCCTTCTTGGTGAAAACGGTAGCCGGTGTACAGTTTACTTAAAACCAATGTGTTGATTTAACATGAGGGCCGAGTCAGCAGCCCTTGGTAAGGATCTTTAACAGTACTTGAGATCAAGAGCGCGACAAGTGTCACGATGGGGTACAAAGAATTATTGTAACCTTGCAAACCGCGTTGCAGTTATACTAGCTTACCGAACCGAGTGTGATTTTTTTTATTGCATGGACTTTTTTCTCATGCCTTTATACAGAACTGTGAGGTTGGCGGAGTTTCAGTATGTTTCCCGATTATTGCAATTATTGTGACCTTGGGGAAGGTTTCGTACAAGTACCTCCTAAAAAAACAAACGGTATGTTGACATAATTCAGGCAAGAGGTCGCATTCAACTTTTTTTTTCATTCTCACCTTTGTTTGGCGCAATGTTTGCAGATTTGTTTAACCACAGATCGCGCTCATGACAAAATCCCGTTATATAAGGACGTCCTATCAAATTTAAATATTAAGGGTGTAGATGTTGTGCGCGCCAACGGTATAGTTCATGGACTGATGGAGTAAAAAATATGTACTTTGATATGCTGCTACTAACATTAATTCCCGTGTGACATCCGTTACTCAGTACACTTTATAGTATGGTCATTTAAGTGGTGTCCTCATTTTAAGGTTGCACATTATTACGCGATATATGGTTACACAATTAACGGGAACTTAAGACTGAAACATAATAATGCCAGAGCTAGGCTTGAAATAACTGCACGTGCCTCAGCCAGAGGCGAGGCCATGTGGGAGAGACCCAGCACTATTATTATGTCCGATCTTCGAGCTCTATGGTCCGATTTGGCACCTCGACCCAGAGGGTACTTATTACAGAATGCCCCCTGGTGCTGTTGCCGAATTGCCCGCAGGCTGGCTTTGGAAAGTCCAGGTTTCTTTGAAGGTTTTGCTTGGACTTGGCGGAATTTGGATCTCTCAAAACTATCAACAACAATTACGAGGATAAGCAATGTCTTTCATCATGGATCCAGAACACAGTTATAATTCGAATGAATAATAATTGGCTTACTTCACCCATTTAACACCTGGGTTGAGAGGAGTAATTGAGGTAAAGCCTTACTCAAGGGCACAACACGCATGGCCACGGCGGGGCTCGAACCCACAATTTCACGATCATGAATCCTATATGCTCTACCGCTAGACCACACGTGCCCCTTATTGTCATTGTTCATCCCTGTTACTTGTACTTGGGTCATGACTTGTGATTGATTTTAATTAACGTTTGATTGATTATGATTGACTTGATCTCTACTTTAGCCCTCCACTTCGGGCAATGTTACCATCTTTCTTTCCAAAAGGTCCCCAGCGTCTGCACGTGCAGGCTTGGCCATTTATAGGTGGTCTGTCTGCGGTCAAATTGTATCCCAACTTTCCTTTTGCTAATTGCGGATGTTTCCGATCAGCTGTCATTCGGTAACCGTCACCACAACCCCCAATGACAGACATTTGACTTCCTGGGCTTCTCATGACGTGATGTCATTATCAAACCGACCACGGGATGTATCTGCCAAGAATTCTCGGCAGGTTGTTTGTGATCGGATATACCACACCCATGGCCCACTATATACTAGACTAAACATTCTATAGAGTTAAGCGGTGTCTGATAGCTTAGTAATACGGGAAAGTCTTTAACCGTTACGTGGACTGACAGTATAGTTGTGTACTCAAGGGCAATACATCCCAATA